AGCCAAAGAACTGCCACGAGTAACTAGAATGATGTCAAGATGAATATAAATATCTCCTAATAACCCTCTGTGCAACACTACAGAAAAATAAAAACAATAAGGGGGCTCTGTTTCAAAAGTTTTCAACTTCATATTTTCTAATTTTTGATCAAGGATCCAGATGGCAAGAGTCCCCTTGGTTTTCATGATCATCTCCAATATTTTCAGCTTTATTTTCTGAATGTTTTGATACGGATTTAAGAGTCGATTGGTATGTCTTTGTGGACGTAAGTGACTCCCTTATCTCCATCCACTACCTGTCCACTTCCTCTAAGAATCCTGTGGAAAAAAAAAAGGGGAAAAAGACAATTCTATAATGCCAGCATGCAATTTTTGGAGAATGAAAGATGTGCCAGAAACAAGATATTGGCATGTGAACTTGTACTTTCACAATACTATTCATTTCTGTATCCATACCATCTAGTTGTTAACAATCCTTCAACTCCAACTGGGCCACGGGCATGTATCCTACTAGTGCTTATCCCAACCTACCAAGTCATTTAAGAGAATCAACTAGTAAAGGAAGAACCTTATATGGTATACAATGCCCGAAATAAATATCTATATAACGAGTTACCTCTGCACCCAATCCAAATCGTGCCCCATCACAAAATCTTGTGCTTGCGTTATGGAAAACTGCAGCACTGCCCATTTAAAAACAAGTATTACATGGTGCCACATTTAATGGACAAACAATATAGACATTGAGTTGGATATAAATTATCACACTATATGATATGCTTATCCTGTAGTCACCAAGAACTAAGGTAATGAAATGAGCTTGCAAGCTGTGCTTTTTTGGAACAGTGTAGTTGAAGCAATATACCTGTCAACTTGACGTAGAAAGACTTCTGCAACTTCATGGTCTTCTGTTATGATGCAATCTGTATGTGCACTGCAACAAATAGGAAAGCATAAACATTGATACATTACTACACATTTCCTTGCACACAGCAGTAGTCATGAAAATGTACGTGTCAATCCACATGCATAAACAGACAGAAGTTGACATCTTCATTAAAAAGAGAAATTGATTACGTGCCTTCCATGTTCATGGATATGATCAATGGCTGCTTGCACATCATTTACTATTTCAACAGTGCAGGCAGTTGAATTGTATTCATGATGAAATGAATGTGTCTCTGGGATATTCAACTCAGCACTTGCCCTAGGTCCACCATATAAAGTAACACCTGCAGAAGATGCATTCAGCTGCCCTTCACATACTGATCATTCACATTTTGCTAAACAAACTACTTTTGTAAGTGAGTAATGAGTATAAAATGATATCCAGGATTTGGCATTTGAAAGGAAGTTTCTTTGCACCAAAAGCTATACCTTCAAGACGAAGATCAACAACCAGGTCATTGAGCCCACCAGTCTGCACCAAATCCTTATGTACAAGAAGTGTTTCCTAAGAAAAGCAAAAAGACTGAAATAAGAGACTGGCCAATTGATAAACAAGAAGAGAATATTTCACAGATGAAAATAGTTCACATCCATTAATGACATTAATAATACTATCCAAAAAATTAATCAGGGAAGAGAGAAATTAAATAAATGAATGATGAATTACCATTGCATTACAAGCTGCTGGATAATCAACTTTTGCATCCAAAACAATCCGTTTTGCCATATTCATATCAGCAGACTTATCAACATACACATGGCAAATTCCATCTGGAATAGAGTTAAGTTGGGTAAATGAATATGTTAGCTTTGGAAGAAAAAGAACTACATCAACTCAAGCATTGCCAAATGGAAAAAGAACATAATAGTAATCCATCTTCTCACCAGCATGACCAAGTACAGGAATTTTTGTAGAATTCTTGATCTGAGAAACAAGTTTGTTGCTTCCTCTTGGGATCACAAGGTCAATGACATCATCAAGCTGATGCATATATGTAAATTCTTAGTTTTAAACCAAAACTTATGGTATAGCAGTCTAAATTTGAGAACTGGACATTGTGAGATCTACCCACCTTCAAAAGATCAGGAATCTCATCTCTTGAAGTCACAAGTCCAATAAGTTTGCTCCCAACACTCTCTGGAATGGCTTCAGTTATAACCTACAACGTCGAAACAAAATCTCAGAAAATAAATTTAGTAAAAGAAAACATTTCATTACATTCCACAGAAAAAGAAAAAATAATTAAGAAACCAAACCTTGAGCAAGATAGCATTTGATTGCTTGGCCTCCTTTCCTCCTTTCAACAGAAGCCCATTCCCACTTCGGATTGCTAGCAAGGCAATCTATTTAAATCATATATAAAACCAAAGGCAAAAATTGAGAAAAAGCAGAAGATAACTCATACCATAAAAAATAAAAAATAAAAACAACAACTTATGCTATCTAGCTTGGGCTTTCTCCTTGCGTAAGTCTACAAAAAAACACACAACAATCCACCACAGGAAGAAGTCTAAAAAATAATCTCCTTAGTCTTACATGCTTAGATCATCTAAAACAATGTGAAAGAAGGAATTGCAACTTGTAGATCCTATTTACCTGCACTAGTGCCTCAGGTCGAGACTCAAAAACAATAAGAAGAACACCCAAAGGACTTGATGTTTTCTCTAAGATGAGCCCCTCTGCAATCTGAATAGGAAAAAAATAATTAGAATAATAAATATTAAGCATGAGAAAATGCTTTCAATCTCTGATAAATATCCCAAATAGAAGATGTTTCAATGCACCACTTCAATCTAGGTGTAGAAATAGAAACCAACCACTTTTTTTTGGAGCATGACACCCATAAAATATATCCTTTAATGAAGTCCATTACCTGGGTTCTCTTCAGAACATGTCCAATTGGATCTTCCATGTTTGCAAGCATACGAATCGACTTTGCAAGGTTGGAAATCTGTCAACAAGCAATGGGATTTAACTCACACAACATGATTGATGCTATAAACCATTTAGATAAGTATACAGCATACACACGTGAAATATCTAATGTTACGCAAAATGGCACCAATCAAGCAGCCTTGACAAGAAAAAAGAGACAGAAAACAGCACCCAGAATTTAAGATAATTAGATTCAGTCACTTACCTTCCCAGGCTTCAAAACCAGCCGAGATATCAAGGATTTTTCATACCCTGCTTTTTCTGCAGCAGCTACATCAGCTTCATTTTCCTCAGTGATCAATTTTTCATTTGTTTCAAGAGCATTGGCTACAGCTAGTAAAATCTTTTTCCTTTCTTCTGAAGACAATGCCTGGAGAAGAATTGAGGACAATTGTTTAAGCTGATCAGGAAGAAAGTACTTCTGACTCTGAACAGATTATTTGGGCAGAGGGAAGCTAATCTTAGTTTAAAAAACCAACAAATTTACTATAACATTTGTAACAACAGTCCACAGAGCAACGCGATTACCTGAAGCCGCCTGGAACTTTCTCTTGCAGCAACTGCCATTTCACGTGCACCCATGTCTTTAACTGACTCCCACAAATGTGCATCTTGATGAAAAAGGGTACCAATACATTGTCCTTGGAGGACTTTTATGATGTTCTCAGCTGCATAGCCACTTTAGGGGCAAAAAAGAAAAAAGAAAAAGAAAAACAAGAAGTGAAATTAATGACAAAAGGTACAAAGTTCATCAACTAACTACGGCATCACAAATACAGGCAAGCTAAAAATCTAACTTTTTTATGGTAAAGACTACCAACCTGAGACAAACAAAAGTTCATTGTTGTTGACCATAATTCATGGTTAGATAAGGTACAAGGCTGCCTTGAATTACAAGAAAAAGAAAACTCGGAGAAGAGGAGAGACCCTCACTACCCTTTTTGTTCATTTTAACTGCTTTTAATCCCATTCAAAACAGTATTCTTCCACTTTAACCAAACACATGTATT